AACCCCCCCCCCCCCCCCCCCCGAACCGGTTGCACCACACTCTCAGGTCTTGCCCCGGCAAGAGCTTGAGGACGCGTTCTCCGACGGCCACGACGCGCTGGACCTAATGAGCGCCTCCAGCGCGGGCCCGGTCGGCGCGGCGATGAGGGAGATGGAAGCGAGGAAGTCGGCGGCTTCCGGAGCAGCCGGGGGTTTCACCTACGCCGAGTTCTACCGCTTGCTAGCCTGGACGCCTCCGTCCCCAGAAAGCGTTGCTGCTGCTGCTGCTGCTGCCTCGAGCGACAGCGAGGACGAAGACGACGGTGGGGAAGATGATCCTCTTCCTTCTGAGACGCTGACCGCCGCCGCCGCCGCCGCCGCTGCTGCTACTCCGCCGAAGCCCGCGCCGCCCTTTTCTGAGAGGGTGCCAACCATACCGGCGGCGGACAACGCCACGAGCGTGGGCAAGAAGCCCATGGTTGCTGCGGCCGCGAAAAAGCAGGAAACGGTGGCGGCCGCGGGAGGCGGTGGTGTTGTTGACGGGGAGGGAGATGAGGAGATTTTGGCGCCGGGAATCGAGACAGCAGTGGTAGCGGCGGCGGTGGCTGGGGCTGCGGCAGTGGGTACGTCCGTCGTCGGGCGGGCATCGACATCGAGATCTGGATGAGGATAAGGGTTCGGTGACAGAGCGGAAGGAAGAGAGGGGTGGGAGGGGGGGGTAGAAACGGTATCCTGGGCATGGGGGGGGGGGGTTGAGGCACCGCCAGGGGAAGCAATTTCAGGGGCTGCGACGACGATAGCGGTCTGGAAATATGGAGAGGAAGGCTAGTGGAGGGCAGCACGCTATTAATAGTGCTGGCGGGCGTGGTGGTTGGATGTTGACATTTTCGTTTTTGGTGTTTGCGGTGTGTGGTTCAGGAATCTTGTAAGAAGTCTGCCACACCCTGGATCCGATCCGACTTGGCCTGCTCCCCTGCTGACACATTTGACGTTCTCGGTACCAGAGCAGAGTATCGGTGGCAGCTGTTTTTCGAAGCAGGATTATCGTTGTTTATGTGTTGGCCGCTATGGCATCCTACACTGCCTGCTGCACTTTTCAATTTAAGACTAGTATGAAACGTATGTACGGAGGGTCTCCCTCTGTTGGTGAGGCTATTCAATGTGTTAGCATTATCGGCAACACGGATGGTACTAGCAGCAGGAATTGCCGACTTCGCATCACTTGTGAGGTTGGGGATATGTACTTCATGCACCAGGCTCACCGTGTTGATCACTACTCCACGAGTATATGTCAGGCGATGTGTTCGAGGGTCGCTCGAACCGAAAGTTTGAATTGATGTATGTTTGCCTGGGTTGATGAAGCCTTGTTACTCTCGGACTTGAACCCATTGGTTGGGTAACAGGATTCAAGCAGGCGTCCGCGGAGGGAGGGATATAGACTGGATCAGGGTGTGGGTGGCAGTCCACAACGGGACCCTGGTGTCTGCAAGCACCTTGCAACTGCTGCATATTCCGCGTATTGGTGCTGGGGTCGTGGTTGCGTGTTACCTGTAGGGTTAGTTGTTGGCTGCCCCTCGGCTTCTTGGGTGTTGTTCATCTCTTGAGATGTCGGTCGGGTACTGTCGTGTGTCACTGCTGTCACTGTCACTCTTGCACTGGTGATGAGTCTGTCTGGGTGACCTGTGTAGTTAGATGGTGTGTGCATACATAGACATGAACATAGATAATCACTGCGAGGGTCAGCTTTTCTCAATTGGACTGTACGTGGATAGACTCAGGCAGGTTTCTCGGGGGGTTCGTTGTTCGGTTGGCTTGGGCTGGCTGTTGTGTGTTGCACTGAGCGGAGAAGAATCCCACTTTTCGCTCTTTGTTTCTGCCGGCCGATCGACTGTCGTCCTACCCATTGGGCGTGTCCGCAGCTAGCGGCGAAACAGCTCTCTGCCTGTAGTTTGGTTGTCATTGGTTGTTGACTCTAGAGACGGCCGGATGCGGCTGTTCCATGTGGAGGTATCATTCGGCGTTTTCCTGAAGGGCGGATAAAATGTGGCAAGAGCTCCGCGGTTTTCAATTTTGTTGTTTTGGACGCAAGGTGTGCTGCGGTTGGCGGGCGGTGCTGGCTGCCGTACGTGCGTTTGATTTGATGTCTGTCGAGAGTTTTTGGGTGGCCGGGTCGTGATGTAGAGAGAACGAGCGAGCACGCGGGTGGAGTGCTTGCGGCGATTCTTCCAGGACGTGCTTGGTCGTAACCGGCGATTTTTGGGGTGGTGTTGGACGAATTGTTTTTTGTAGTTCCGAGGATAGAAAAACGGAAGAACGAGGTGATGATAGACGGACCCGAAATAGACGGGTGGGTGTTTTTTTTTTGCTTTATTTAGAAGTATTCTAGTATTCTAATTTTTTTGGGTTCCTCCCACGGAGGCCCGAGGTCCTTGATGTTCAGTTTTGAATACGGCGGTTTCACTTTTTTTGCCGTGAAACGGTTGTTTGATAAACTGCTGTATGTAACTGCTTAGCGCTGGCTCATTCCTGTCCTGAAGATGTGTAGGTGTTGGAGGCTGTCCGGCGGCATTCGGTCGGTTTTTGGTCTTGAGGTGGAGAGCGCACCAGAAGCGTGTGATGTGATGTGATGAGATGTGTGATGAGATGTGTGATGCTGTGCTCCCCTTGGTCCTCCGCTGCTGACAGTTTAGACGTCTTGTCGATCTTCACGTCCCGATCTATCTGATCTGATGTTATTTGAAGGATGATGACGTGCTGCTCAGGAGGGCACAAACCGTTTTCTGTCATCTGATTATTCCTCGAATTGCGAGCCTCGTTCTTCCGTGGTTGGTCCCACAACAGCATTAATAGTCACTCACACCCCCTCTCTCTGCCACCAGGCGGATGAACCATGGGCGGTGAATACGAAGACTTCACCACACTTTTCTTTTTGTCTCGGATTGCGCGGTGGTTATGCATTGAGGCCATTTCTTACGGTTCTTTTTTGGAGCTGTCTTTTTCTTTTTTCCTTCTCAAAAAAAGACAACTGGCCACAGAACCCCGTGAGCACGTTTTTTTTTTCTGTACGCTCTCTGATCTCTCTTGCGTTCTTCATGGGAATATCACCACCACCAGCCGCAGTGCCATCCGCATCGACATTAGTGTCAGCCAACGAGGTGCATGTGTTACTAAAATGGCTGCGTGAGATCTCATCGATTCTCAAAGCTCGACTACTCTACAGTTATTACTGCTGTAGGAGGTAATTTTTCGATGCCGAAAGGCCGCGTTCGAACCGTCTTGTCGATGGCGTTTCTTTTCTCGCACACGTTTCGTCGATTGTGGTACCCTCTTCTCTTCATTCGTCTTCGCTTCGTTCGCTTTCGTCGTGGAGTTCCGCAATACAAATAAATAAATAAACACTAATGCGAGAGACAGACATGTCAGCCTATCATAAGTCGTTAATGTAGCGCGCTCGTGAAGCATCGGTGTCTCACACATTTCCTGTCTCTCTCTGCTTACGTTTGCACACCCCGCCCCCCCCCTGACTCCGCCACCCAACTCACATATTGAAGGTGGTGAGCCGTACCTCACACAGATCGAGGCGTGAACGCGCATTTGCGCGGGAGGTGTGGTTGATGTACGTCTGTGCGGGGTGTTTCGGCGGTGTTAATGGTTAGGGGCGGTCTGCGCGACAATGCTTTGGATACTGCTCCTCTTCGGTTACTCATCCTTAGGTGGAGACGACGATTAACGTCTACTTACTATACGCAGTTAGTTTCACCTCGTACGGTGATGATATATCATTCGTAACCATCGGGACGCTTGCGTTGGCGATTTGGGCCAGAGTGACGGGCTGGAACGCAGCAGATCTCCAAGTTGTCGCCGCAATCGCTACAACCAACTGGATGTGGGCCTGGTTTCATCCAATCGATTCGGTTCTGTACATACATGTGCTGGTTTTCAGGTCCTTATACTTTGGGGGGTATATCGAAAGGCTGCTTCATCTACATAGCTAAAGGCTGCTTCATCATGGTGTACATATGTTTGTGGCAGTGTTTTACGGGTGCAAAGACGACACTAAAGCGCGCCCAGCACCACCCCCATCGCCATGCTCAAGGAAGAGAGAAGAACCAGGGTCGTCCCTAGCGAGCGCTGGTTCGCATTTGCTCGACCCGTGGCTCCATTGAAGTCCAATGAAGAAGGGCATCCGCACTCTATTCTCAGTATCGACGAAGAGGCGTTCATGTATGAAACGTTTCCGGTGCCTTCAAGGTCGCCTGAACAAGAACAGCAGGCAGGTTGAAAAGCGTCGGATGCCATGAGTGCTTTCGCAGGCTGCGAATGCTCTGCACAGATTAACCTCCTGTGGACATGGCAACACTGTCGTTCAAGGACACTGAATGGAGCCGTATAATATCCGGTCTGTCGCCAACATTTTCAACTCAAAAGACAGCTTTCTCTCCCCAGGACGACAACGTCGCGAGTGAAACAGAAGCTTTGACGGACGATCAGTCTATGCTTGAAAGTCTTCGAAGCGCTGGCTTCATACCAGCTCGAAATTTGAAGGCCTTCCAGTGTTGACTTCGGAAACATTTTGCCTCAAGAAACACGACACACTGCGACGAACATTTCGCACAAAGAAATCTGTCAAAACTTTTGCACACCAACTCTCTTCAACTTACAATGCCAGAAGATGACGCCAGGTGTGTCATCGTAGGCGCTTGCAACTCCGTGCGCGGGATGGCCATTGGTGCCGTCACTACTGTCCATCCCCCGGCTGCAAATCACTCGAGGTTCCTCGATTCCAAACTCAAAGAGCACCAGCGTCCAATCCTTCTGCATAAGAAAGAAGACGTGCGCCGACAAAAGATGTCCGAAAGGAGGTCGTAGAATGAGCAACTAAGCTTGCATTCCGGGCGTCCCGTGTGGACGCGCCACTCGTGAGCCGCGGGCTGTCGATCGAACCCTCCGTGCGTCCCAGTAGACCTGCGTTGGGCGTTTTTTCTCTACCTCTGTTCGTAGTTAATTGTCTCCGCTCGAAGGGTCGACTCAGACCCTTCTGCACGCACCGGGCTTTGACAGAATGCAGGACCCCCTAGCTGCACTTCCAACTCTGAAAATCCTTTCAACTGTCTCGACAATTGATTCGAGAAAAAAATCTGCTGTGTTCTTGGGTGCTCTCACCGGACCATTTTGGTTGAAGGTTTCCACCTCGCCAAGAGACCCTCAACAAGGTACGGGGCTGAGCGTCGGTGCGAGGAAAATGACAAAACAAATGGGGGACGGACACCCTGTGTAGCAGCAACGCGAAAAAAGCACAAGCAGCAGCAGTTCCTGAAAACAAAATCAGCCAGGTTACCACCCAATACTTGCATAGTACGTTTCCTCCACAGGCCCATCTCCCGTTGGTAGTACGAAGCTTTGTCCGTCGGCACTCTCCGCGCCGCCAGTGGACCTGTAGATGGCGTATCCTGCAGTATCATTTAAGTTGGAGTCCACATAGCACCCCTCCACCTGAGGTACAGCTGGAAGAGTCACTAGAAACGGGTCTCCGGCCACGCAGCCGGAGACGGTCGGCGAAGGGGTCGGACCAGGAGTTGGAGCAGGGGTCGGAGACTCTGACAACGTGCCCCCCAGAGCGCCACCCGTGGCACAGCCGCACGTCACCGAAAACTTCGTTTCCTCTATCCCAAAGGTTGTGCTGTAGTCCCCGTCCAAATCACCTGCGCGCCATGAAACAATTACCCGTCAGGCCGTAGAACTTTTCCCCAGTCCTCCAGATTGATGAAAGGGACTGCAGCTTGAGTTTTAAGGTTCATGCAGTATTGGCGGTCAAACGTGTGATGCCGATGATTGACGTTTAGGCAGGCGAACGCATCAAGGTGGGTGAACAGGCGAGGCCCCGGAAGCGCGCATTATCGACGCCAGCTTCTTGGCTATCATAATCGAATGCGGCGGTCGCTCGCAGAGAGGGATTAGCGGGCCGCGGGCTAGCCTGCTGCGTGCCATGGCGGCGTTTTTAAGGGTTGCGACTGATTCTGCCCTGGATATCTTGATTGTTTTTCGCCCATTGTTGTTGTTGTTGTTGTTGTTGTCTTCACATTAAAAACCGTTCCGATCTCTCTCTATCCAGTACCTTCGTATGTCCGTACTGATCCAACACTCGACGCGGTCGATTCCCGTGGTCACAGGTTAACTTACCCTAAAAAGGTACACTCAAATAAACTGGCCCATACACTTGTGTGGAAGCGAACACTTTCGAACTCACAATCCCAGGTTGTATTCGCCGGAGTAGCCTCCGTTACCTCTTCTTGCGAGAGGCAGTAGACAGATACCAATTGCTCGCTCGAGGAAGTAAAAGTGGGGTAGAAGAAGAGGCCCCAGAACGTCTGGGGAAAAAATAGTACACGGAAAAGAAGGAGCAACGGAGACAGATGTATCAAAGGGGGTGGGTGCAAGGACTCCTTGTCGGTCAGAGGCTGCAACAAAAGACGTGATTTCGAAGAAGAGGTGCGTTACTGTAGCGGTCGAAATGCTCTAACAGTTGCGTGGGCGCCCGAATTTGGAATAGAACGCCACACAGTCGCAGAAGCTAGCAGTAGGAGGTGCGTCCTGCATGACGACTGGGTGGCCAGCGCCATGCACCGTCCCAGGCAAAGAACGATTCCATCTCTGAAAACACCTCCCCCGGGGATTTTACTTGTGTCATGCGGTACATGTAGGTTCCCACCGTCCTGGAGCATGGAACGAAAGCTTCATGCCAGCTGTTAGTTCGACGAACAACCACAGGCAACTTCAGGTGGTTCCGTGTATCCCGAAAGGTCTATCCGCGGGTCACGTGTTGGACAGGAGCAAAAGCACGAAGAGACCAGGCAGACTTTCGAAATACCGCCGCAGGCACTTGTGGCTAGCGCGGAACGTGGACGTGAGGGGTCCGCCTCAGACAAGTCCCCCGGGTCGGTATCTGGCTCACCTCGTTCGTAGCGTAGGTCAACCACGATAGCCAGAGCTGCCCCGCCGCCAGAGACCCATCTTGGGTGAAGCTAGGCAACTCGATCTCCACGAACTCGGAGTACCAGCTCTGAGTTAACCTTGTGTCGAAGTAGCAGCCCTCGACGTGGGGGGCCGAAGGGGCTGACACCGTTAGCGCCCCGCAGTCTTCGCCGCCGATGAAGATCGTAGGCGCCGCGGTGGTGGCTGCTGTTGGAGCGGGGGTAGCCGAGCTGCACCCACCGCAACTAACCGAGAACAGCGTGTCGTTGCTGACCGTCTGGAAATTCGATGTGCCCGTTTCGTCACCTGGCACGTGGTGGTTGTACAAAAATAGCACGCATGAAAAAAGAGCGGGTGTGGCATCGTTGCAGGCTACCGCAGGAAAACTTTGGATAGTGTAGTCGCACTTTAGTTTTCCGACAAGCAATGGCATGCTCTTCGCTTGACCAAGAGTACCTGTATTGACTCCTTACCTGCTGTTGGCTAGGGTCATGTTATTTAGCTGATTACTGGCGCTTGGTTGGGTGATTTCTCCTAGTTTTTTCAAGTTGCCTGATATTTTGAAGTCCTAATTTGCAAATCATCCTGTGACCACGTACGGCGGCTACTATCGGTTGGGCCAGTACGGATACGAGGGGGTGCTGAGCAAAAGACGGAGCATTGTACAACTGCCAAGGCAACGACAACAAGAGCTCTAGGACGGGGACAGGTTCGGTCAAGGACCCGACAGGACGTGTCAGCCTCACTCTGATAAACGGTTACACTTACACATCCATGCAGCATCCGCGGGGTTCACCAATGACGCATCCTCTACTGACGCACACTGCAGGACAGCCGTACTGCTCGTCACGTAAGCCACGCCCCAGAAAAGTGGTCCCTGCAAATGTTCAGTGGCAAAAAGGACGAGCGTTGTCCTACGCGTAAAAACAAGTGAACGACACGGGTGCCGCTCATGTCACGGATATCCAGCGCTCACCAGGCGAACAATACCCCATGGCATGATTGCATCTCCGAGCCCTCTCACCTCGTCGTCGTCGTCGTCTGGGTCTTTCGGGGCCGCGAGTATGGTTTGCCCGGGTGACGATGCAGACGTGATGAAATATACCGGTTCTCCACCTGTGTGCATTTTGTTATTAATAGCATCGACCGCGCTAACCGGCTGACCAATGAAAAGACGTCAGTCAGTCTCAGTGCGGTTGAAAACACAAAACACCTCTAAATGTCACTAACTGGGACCCCGTGAGGGGGCGGCACGGGAAAGACTAACCTATTATCTGTGCTTGTGACATCATCAGCAGGAACATATTATTTAGCCACGTGCACAATGGCTGTCCCATTGTTTCAGTTGTCAATCTCGAAAACGGTCGGACCGTGCGCGTTCGTACCTAAAACGGGCACCCCCGGCAGAAGTTGGAGGGTACAAAACAAAAAGTCCATGTTTCTACGCATTCCTCTGTGTTACCAAGGCCGGTGCGCACACATGCCACCAAAACGTGGAGACTAGCGTCCATAACAAAATATATGAAAGGATCCGACAACAGAACCCACCCACCCCCCCGGGGTAAAAAAGTTCGACCTCAAGGCCCGAAGCATTATCAAACCCAATTCCGGGCACGCGGCACGTTCGCCTCTACTGTACCTGAAAGCAGTGTATCCGAAGCCACGTAACACCCCTCAGCGGAAGGAAACATCGACGACGAGACGAACAACGGAGATAGGCTAGGACACGAGTCCTGGAGAGCACGACCATCTTCTAGCCCCCCCCCGGTGCTGCCGCTGTTCACAAAATTGTTCCTGACGTGCGTTCTGGCCCCGTCGAGAATCCCCCGGCGAGCCACGTCAAGGTTGGGTGGTGTTTGGTACACCTGGAATGCATGATACGGGGTGAGAAGTGGGGTGTGCTGGTGTGCTCGTCTGCGCAATGATGATGGCGTCAAACATGCGAAGCAAACATGCGAAGCCCAAACAATCGAAAACGACCTGACATGCGACACGAGTACAAGGTGCACCACGGAGGTGACGTGCGTGTGGACATGCTCAGCTCTGCTCCTTTGGGGCTGTTTAGTAGTGAGTCCAGATTGGTCCATAAACTCCGGAATGCATCTGGATCCAAACAATCAATCGTGTTACGATCTCTTCACGGAGCCCCCTTTGGAAACATTGCACGCATCAGAGCCATCACACAGAGTGCGACAACCTCACAAATAATAGCATGAGGTGTGGGCTGGGCTGCTGACGCGAGAGATTCGGGAAAAATGTTTGCGCTGCAACCGTGGCGTCCTTAGGCCGGACCCCGTGAACAGCCCGATGTGTGCGGCAAACGAGCCCAGAATGCCGGACGCAGCCGCGGTGGGTCATTTCTTGCGTGTGCTCTACGTATAGACCCTCGGGCTCACAATTTCTGAGCGTCATAGCCTCCCGGTCTGTCTGAATGCACCACCGCAGAAGACGAACCATTTACACAGCTCGCGGGCGGAACCATTGCCATTCATTGCTGTTGTGTCAGTGTGTCAGTGGGTACCAAATCTACATCACAGGTACCTGTGACACGGTCAAAACGGTACACAGAAGAGGGGGAGGAGAAGTAGTAGTAGGAGGAGGCGGAGGAGGAGGAGGGAGAGGAGAAGAAGGAGGAAGAGGAGGAGGAGCCGACTCGAGGGGGTGTAAACGCACGCCGAAAATGGCATTTTTCCGGTCTGGCGTGCAGTGAAGCTCGAGGGAATGAATAACCCTAGCATACTTATAAAATGTACATATAAATAGAATGGTAGGGGGTACGCGAACGAACGTCACGTGGTAACGTGCGGAATAATAATTGTGATTTACATAAATAATTGACGCGTTTTCCGTCGAGCTTTCGGGTCCTTCTTTCACGCGCGCAGAGGCGCGGCGCCACTCTAGGTTTTCAGGTTCACTGAAAATTGATTCGAGAATGCGATGCGCACGATGTGGATAACTATCGTGTGGTTTCCTCACCAACAACGCGTCTTGGCTCAGGCATGTTAGGTGATTTTTGGTGCCAGTGCTCCATCTTCATTCACAACGACAGGTCAACATTTGGGAGTGAATACCGTTCTATCCCTGGGGTATACAGTAGGTGTCCCGATATGGTGCCGGATGAATAGTGCCAACGTCCGGTTCAGTGCCGGTAAAATTTCTCGACACAGACACAGGCCTGAATAGTGCCGGTTTGGCACTATTCAAGGCTGCCCGCTATAGTGCCGGTTCAGGCACTATCGAACCCATCAATAGTGCCGGTTCAGACCCCCCACACAGCCTTTTTTCGCCTCAAGCCTTCCACGCCAACATGATTCGGAGACGGTTTCCCTTCGACCTACAAGTATAGCTCGGTTTCTCTCGGTACGCGTGACGTCTTCAAATGTCACGGTATACCGATCGACCAGGTTCCACCATTAGGCTGGGATTTCAGTAGTAGTGAGGCGAGCGAAAAGGAAGATGGTGGTAGTGACGAAGGATATGGAAAATATAGCCAAGGATAGCCGTGATGATGCAGGAGGAAAATTGGCGTTGAGGGGGACAACAAGAGTTTCGAGCGAGATGACCTTCCTCACAACAAACGCCGCAGGGGCGCAGAATTTAGAGATGAAAGTCCGAAAATAGTGGGAAAATATTTGTGAAGAGTGGTAAAAAATAATTTCTAAGGAAGGATGAAAACATTCCGAGACGAACGCGTGTTCAAAGTAGTAAGCCTTGGCAGTCACGTAGTTCTCCTCTCTCTGTTGCTACCATTTCTGTCTTTGTCCAGAGAATAGCTCAGCCTCCTCCATAACGCCCTCTCACGGCCTTGAGAAACAAATATTTTCTGTTATTGACCGCACTGAGACTGGCGTCTTTTGGTCGGCCAGTCGTTTTTCTTGCTTCTGAAGGCTTGGTCTTCTCTCTAGCTTTTTATCGAAGGAACAGGGGAGTTCGTTATCTTCTTCACCAGTTTTTTAGGTTGCATCTGATTTTTGTGTGCTCATGTAAGGAGCACTACATCCATCCATGTTTTTTACCTCCAAATGTACATCGGGTGCGTGCATGAGCGTCTTTCTTTCGCTGTCGAGGTTGCCTGAATAATAGTGCTACGACCGACCTTCTTCCGACAACACATAATAATAATTTGATAGCGAGGTGAACTTTTATCGGGCAGCACGGTCTACGGTTGAAAGGCAGGAGCAACGTTTCACTAGCGAGTGCTTGCGCTGAGGTGGGAAGAGAACAACTGCTGTGCAGCAAATTTATCTGGTCAATCAAGTTAATTTTAATTTGACCAATGCTGCCGTGTTTTCGACAGTCCAAGAGCCTCACAAAACTTAATGAAGCTCGCCCACGTCGCCCACCCCACGATTGATCCAAATACCGTTCGTTTGGTACTCTGTCAGCCCCGCAAAGCGTAAGCGCTGCACTCTGAAGTCGACCAGTCCTGAAAAGTGCCAAGCCGGCACTATAGAGGGATTTTCAGACCCTGAATAATGCCGGTTTGGCACTTTTGAGGCACAATTTTGAATAGTGCCGGTGCCCGATATAGTGCCGGTCAAATCGCCTGGACACATACCGGCACTATATCGGGACACCTACTGTATCTACATTGTTTTGCGGGAGATTATATCGGGAACCGTAACTGCATCCTACTATATCACTTTACTGTCAACGTTGTCGTATTTTGGGTTCGTCCTTTCGTACAACAAGGGGACAACAAAGAAGTGACAACGCAAACAGTTGCGTCACGAAAATAGGTGTGAGACATCGCAATTTCTACTCCCGCAAATTTCCCCACCGATGCACAAGCACTCACAGATGCAAACCCTGGTGACATGTACCACTCTGCGGGTTCACCGTCTGGACGTCTGGACGTCTGGAACTTTGAATACGAGCCACTTCTTCTTGCAAGCTACTGCTGTACACGAAGCACTTGTACTCTGTAGGTCGTGTTCTGCCATAGCTGTGAACTTCAAGTTCACTCAAAGAGTGTGCTAGGGCCACATTTACATGGCTTGAGCCATTCCACAATCAGCCACGGCCATGGGCATGATCGTGAGTAGGAGAAAGCTGCGCTGGTTGATGCGTTACAGCGCTCACGCAGCTCCGAGGGATGCTGTGTACGTACGTGACGCGTTCAAAAAACCAGCTGTCGAGCTACTTTGACAGCTGGCTTCATTCACGGATGGTGAATCTGCGTACCATATCTATGTAGGTCTAAACGACACATGCATAACATACGGCCATGGACGGCCGCAGCGAGCCGCAGACTAGCCTCTTCGCTGCTGATGACCACCACCACCAAAAAAAGTCTCAACTCTGTCTGGGGCCGAAATGCGGCGGAAGAGCCACTGCAAGCTGACGGCCTCTTGCGAATTGTTGTGCTGCGGATGGACATGGTGGTCCTGTTGATGCGCGCGTTTTGGTTTCGGACTCCATGCAACCGTAAAAAACAGCAGCCGCTATCAATGCTGCTGTGGTATATGACAGAGAAACACTACTCTACCTATTCTCGTGTGTCTCACTCGCCTTCAACGACATCGGACAGGTCGTGGCAAACACGGCTCGCCCCGCGGATTTCGAAAAACGAATCACCCCGCTGGCCTGTGGTGATGTGACCTCCTGTAGACACGTCGAGGATGCGGTAGAGTCAGTGGTGCCGGCGACGAGGGAGGGAGGGACCGACAAGCATCAGGCCCCGGCGACGAGGGAGGGAGGGACCGACAAGCATCAGGCCCCACAGCCACGGAGCTCATGTATTGGAAGAACTTTCACTGACCTGTAATATTTACGCATTCAAGACAAGATCACAAGATCACCCGATGAACTGAGCTCTTGGGCCAGTCTTGGTTGGGCCGCCTGACAGTCTCGTCACCTAGGTCGCAGGAGGTGAGGACGTGGGACAACCGATGCCCTTCAACCTACTGCTGTAGAACAGACTTGTCATACGGGGTGAGGGGCTGGATCATAGGCCTACAAAAGCAGCACCAGTGGATGAAGCGAACAGCTGGACCTCCTGGCAGCGGTGTGCCCAGTGTCTGAGCAACAAACAGACAAACAGCAGCGGGGCCCAGGAGGAACTTTACTCTTGCGCCGAAAAGAAACGGATTTACGGCGCTATAAGCTCTTGCCAGCATACCGCACAACCTCCTGCGTGGCGACCACCCACACACGCTGCACACGGCAAGGCAGGAGAAGGAGGAGGCGCCAAGGTGAGCACCGCCCGGATCAGCCGAGAGTAGAGACAGCTCGTCCTCGAAACGGGTGAGTGTTGCGCGCGTTGCTGTCCTGGTGGTGGGGAGGGATAATCTTCTTCTCATCATTTATTTCTCTTCTGATATGTCTGCATTTACTTGGATCCGTTTCAGGCGGGTCATTGTCACCCGCTCGATGGCCCTGACATCCTCCACACCACTTACTTGAGGCAGCGATTGCATCGACAACGAGACTCTGTGTGCCGTTTTGGGTTTTCTTTCATCACTCACTATAGTATGTAGAACTTGCTGCATGGCACCGAAGAACACACAATGCACGCTCAAATCTCCATCACTGCAATACTGACAGTTTGCTAAACCCCTCAGCATGGGACACCCATGGGTCACCAAGGCCGGTCCCTGAACTCCCCACGAAGTGGCTACCGTGGGCATTTCAACCTACAACTCGCCACGGATATATCAACCTGGCACGTAGCCATTGGCACAATAACCTAGAACTTAGCCACCCAGCGCCAACCTAACGTGGCTTGGGGTTATGGTTGGCTTTTATTATAGCCTCCCGGTATTTCCGGTAATAGTCTCATGCCCGTTAGACTACAAGACTAAATAGAGCAGATAATTTACTGAGTATGGTATTTTTTAGGAGTACACTGATTCCGGTTGAAGGGCACTAAATAATTGGCTGCCCACGGGCGGTTTCCCAAAACTGTAGAAAGTGCAAGTGTGGGAGACCCACTACACTGCTTTCCAAATACCCTCTTTATTGCAAAGCACTAAATGTACATCCTACACACTCACGTAGTCGCACTGCTCTATAGTGAGCGTTGAAAGCGCGACTTGACCAGTTATCTTCTGTTGCGTTCGTTTGGCTGGTACATACATACAGATGCATGATTTCATCACAGGAAGGACCTTCACGACTTTTGAATTGAGATCTGCATACATACGCTAACAACGCTACAATACGCAACGTTGTCGGGGGGCGAGGTACGTTGCCGCAATGCCGCAACAGGCAAAAAACACCCAATGCGACCTGAATTCTGAAAGTACATTGTCCAGCACGAGCTCCGAGCAACGCTAGAGTGGTTGTCTTGCAAGCCTAGGGGCAAGAGAGACACGGTAGCTCGCCGGGGGGGGCGTACTCTTATGTTTTGCATGCCTTAGCGGCTAGATCATTGACCACGCGTCCTCGAGAGGACGGAGCATTGTTCCCGCAGGACCGATCACCGATGGCCAATCGTTCCTTCCTACTTTGCCGAAGGTGGCTCAAGAATGTCTGTCCTAGTCTATCTATCCTTTCGATATCACTTCCCGCCTTTTCAACCCACTTCCTATGCCCCAGTACAGCGAATGTCTTCTCGTGGCTATCCCATGCCTCAAACATCTCCCTGTACTTTTCTTCTACTTTTCCAGGCTCAGTCATGTAAACTTCCCTCTCCTTCTTGTACAGCCGACATTCTGCGACTGCATGAACACGGTCTTCGCACTCGGAGCCGCAAATCACATTTGATCTTGGCGTCTTCATCGTCTACCTTCCGAAGTCTTCGGCTACGTTCTCGAAGGCCGATGTCCCCGGTCCTGAATTTGACGTTCAGCTTTGTCCCTGCATCCATTGGTCCATGTAGGTACTCCTTGAACCCTATTCCTTCTTTCAACATTCCGTACACTTGTATGCCCGCCTTATCCTTGGTTTCTTTTCTTAGATTCAGTTCTTCTCTCTCGGCAAAAGCAACAGATATTTTCTCCTTGAACCCTCCTATTGTAGACCCTCCGTATCCAGCGTATCGTCTTCCTCAATTTCGAACCCTTTCCATACGTGACCTACAATCAATCTTGACCCACTCCGTGGCACTCCGTGGGTTGTCTACCCCTCTTCTTGTTTTCCCCCTTCGCCCCCCAGGTTATTCTCGGCAACCTCTCCCCTCCCATGCCGCACATGCGATACTGCTATGTCAGCTTCCTTGCGTCTCGTCCCGATCGTAGAGATTGAATCCCCAGTTCTGCGCTGACGGCTGTATTACTTGTGCGCTTTGAGCATCCTAGGATGACTGTCGCTGCTTTCATCTGCGTCGCCTCGAGCTCTTTGACTACCTTCTTATTTCCTTCCCATACTTTTCCGGCGTACTCTAGCGGTGGTACGATTTCGCTCTTCAAAACCGTCAATTTGATGCGTGTGTCGAGGCGCCGGTTTGCGAGTATTGGGTGCAGCTTCCCTGCTCGTGCTTTGCCGTTTTCCGCTACCTTCGACATGTGTGCATTCCGCGAGCAGTCTTTTGCGATCTCTACTCCGAGGTATGTGTACTGGTCCACTGCTGCAAGCTCCTCGACCCCCCACTTCCATCTATGTTCTACTGGTCCCTCTCTGTCATCGTTGCATACGGTAGCTCGCCGGGATTGGAAAAAAAAGTTTGTGGGCGTGGTGGCGTTGTCAGGAGGACACGTACGTGCGTTTCCCTCCAGCACGTCGTAAGCCAATTTCTCGCTTTCTAAACAAAGGACGGACGTGAAACCAAGAGCGTGACCCCCATACACAGGTCTCTTTCGTTAGGGAGGTACATAGATTCATCCATTCAGCAGGGCATCTGTGCGTGCATTTGCGGCAGAATAAACATTTGTCCATTATCAAGTGGTATGAAAAATGGGAAGACAGACGCGTATTTTGCAAAGCTGAATATTTACCACACCAACACCTTTACGGCCCGTTTTGATCGGATGAACTAACGGCCAACCCACTTTCTCACCGAATGAAAACCATGCACCACTCCCTCGCTTCTCGATGGTGTTTTGTTTGTGCGCGGTCTACAGCAGTGGGGAGAGAGAACGGGGCTGTGTTTTGTCCTCCTGTTCTCTCGAAGGGCGGTTTTTCGCTCTTCAACTTACGCAAACAGTCTTTTGGCCTCTTTCCAGGCTTCACAACCGTGTTATTGCACTCCCGGCGAGATTCGTCCCTATTCCAGTCGCCAAAAGCGTGGAGGTAGTGACTACGGTTGCTCGGAGCTCTCTGCAACCTCCTCTCGATATCAACCTGTGTGCCCCCATAACAGCGGTGCGACAAAAATCTTGGTCGTGAATAATACTCGAAACACTAGTCCAAACGTTGTTTGTTGGGGGAACAAATACCGACGGCCGTGCAAGTATTGACAAAGCTGCTGCCGGTGAAACGTTGCGTTTCCAACAACCATTTAATAAAATTAGCAGCGGCCAGTACTCTGTGTTTGGTCAATGTATGCCCGAGAGCTCACAGTTTGCCAAGAACACGCAAAGCAGGTCGTCGCCAGCCTCGCTTCAGCCTGAGGGCGGGCCCACTCGTGACAACCATCCGGGCCCACTCGTGACAACTAGATAGGATGACACGGGGAAGGACCCGGATTACCGCGATTCGAAAATCGCCTGGAGTCGAAAAACAAAACGATCTACAGTAATGTGTCTGGTGTCTGTGTCTTTCACGAAACACTTCTGAAAGCCATGAACTGGGACCCCATGAAGGGGCGGCATGCGTGGAGTCTGTCTGTGTGTGTCTGCTTGTATATTTCCACATATAGTCTGCATGGTTTCCGACCTCCGGCGACCAGTTCATTCAGCAACGTTCCCAATCCAGGGCTTCCCCGAAAACAAACAAGTTAGCCGGACCTATTGATGACTAATTGTTTCCTTGCCTCTGGGCACCAGTTGGCGTTCTGAGCTGCAGAAAACTGTGATTGATTCCTCGGTGGCAACTAGTATCGTTTTCTTGGTGCCCAACGGCTCTCTACTGTCTGGTGTGTACGCTGTATGAGTGGTTTGTGGGTACCTTTTAGTCTTTTTCAAAAGCACTTCACAACTTTGTTAGCGTCTCCTAAATCTGATCCATCTGCACGACGTGTTCTTTTTTCTCCCCCCTCCCCAACTACCACATGCAGAGGCGCGCGGCTTCGTCTCCTTCATCGTCTGGTGGCGCGACACAAGATGGCAGAAACTGTCTTGCAAAGGCTGTTCTGGTGTACGATGTTGCTCATGACGATCTCGGCAAACCACGCGCAAACCGATGCTGACTACGAGCTGGTGTGCGAGAATGATTCAAATTTGGATCGAGGTGACGGACTCTGTGATGACTACTTAAATGAGCCCCTTTGCAGATACGATGGCGGCGATTGTTGCAGCTGCACCTGCGATCGGTCGCTTGTGGACAGCACAACAGATGACTCCGGCTACGATGTCCACCCGTGCGGAGACAACCTGTTCAACTGCATCGATCCTAGTGCTCCTGATTTCGACCGCCTACCTGTCTACGGCTGCGGCAGCATGCCATCGGTTCCTCCTCGCTGCCCATCGGAAGGGCAGAGCCAATGGGTCGTGGAGGACACGGCGGGGGCATCCGCTCTAGCGAATGCGGTCAGCAATTGCTCCGGGGGGAATTTCGATGTGGACTGGAGGGGGCACGTCTTTGTCAACACTACGCTCTGGGTGGTGGATGGCACGTCTCTCACGGTAAGTGGAGCGGGAGAAGATGCCGTAGTTGACGGAGGCGGACACACCAGACCGTTTGTCGTCGTGAATGCGTCGCTGCATCTTGACGGTTTAGCCGTGGAAAATGGCGCCGCCGATTTTGGTGGGGGGATCTTCGTAGGAGGTTCCAGGCTTACTCTCAACGGCACGAGGCTTTCCAACAACACAGCCTTGATTGGAGGAACGGCTTACGTCGATGCTGAGTCGATTGTGTCTTGCATCGGGGCGAACGAGATATCGCATAGCACTGCTCTCAACGGTGGCAGCCTCTTCATCGACGGCGGGTCAAGCGTGTCGTGGGAAGCGTTCAGCTTTCTTGAAAACCAAGCAGCTGCTGTGCTTATTCGAGGCGCATCCACGCTGTATTGGAGCGGAGACACCACATTCATAGCCAATGGCGTGCTCGCCTCAGCCGTGACACAGTACAGAGCGCACACATTGGACATCTTGGGCGGTTCGAACGTTTCTTGGGATGGGAAAACCACCTTCGCGGACGGCTACCAGGGCACGGCGGTGTTGGTCCAAGACTCGAACTTGTCTTGGAGCGGAGAGACGCTGTTCACGAACAACACCGAAAGCGGGTGCATAGACGTTAGGAACTCTCACGTTTCATGGAGCGGCGTGACCAGCTTCGAAAACAACCATGGCGGCACTTCAAGCAGTGTTCGGTCGGTCATATCCATAAGCAGTGCGGGGTCTGTGTCGTTCAGCGGCCGCACACAATTCGTGAACAACACGGCCAGTCATACCGGGGGGGCAGTTCGTGTCGGATATGGCGCCGCCCTCGAGTGGAGCGGGCCAACAATCTTCCACAACAATACCGCCAGCACCAATGGGGGAGCCTTGTACGTCACAGACGGCAATGTTTCTTGGTCTGGCCAAACTTTGTTTGACGGAAATTCCGCAATCGACGATGGCGGGGCCTTATTTATCGACACCGGCGCCACGGTGACCTGGAGCGGAGAAACGACATTCGCAGGAAACATGGCCACTGTCAACGGTAAGTTCTCGTGGGAGTACAGTAGCGAGGAACTGGGGTGTTTCGAGGTCAGAAGAACGACATACTACTGAGAGCAGTGATGCCTGCACTTGATTGCTCTTGGAAAGGAAAGACATGTGCCATCCGCCCATTAATGCGAAAAACCGTGATGGTCTAGACTATTGCCTTGTTCCGCAAGTCCGTTGGTATACGGGACGTGCTTATCCTCGGAGAGAATGCCGAAGCCTACCGATAGAATGCCGTTAGAAAGATATTGGGAACTGCATTGAGCCCAATCAGGTATCGCTCACACCAGACTCAAAACGGCGTGGGAGCAGAGCTCGCAACTTTCCTAATACGTTCGTAGAGCTGTTCAATACCTTTTTACCGATTTCGGCTTCGCACTTCGATAGGAGGCGCTATTGGAACAGCACTGGAGCCCGAGGTGGGCGGATCACTTGCCTCGCTCGTGGTGAACGGAAGCACGGCCTTTGTCGACAACACCTGTGAAGGCAGCGGTGGCGCGATTAAGACCTCCGGCGCCGTGAGCTTGGCGCTCGAAGACGTGGTGTTCACGGGTAACTCTGCTCAATCCAGAGGCGGGGCCTTGTACATTTCCAACACTGCGGTGGGACCGACCCTTGTCGGCTTGACGTTCACAGGCAACACAGCTCACACCGGCGGAGCGGTTTACGTCACAGCCAGCGGAGTCGACGCTGTTTTTGGAGATGGGTATCCCACCACGTTTGCCGGGTGTTACTTTGCGGACAACTTTGCGGACCTGTCAGGCGGGGCTATTGACTCTTCTTCCGGGGACGACAGCATCGAGAGCTCCGACTTCATCAGCAATAAGGCCGTCATAGGAGGGGCGCTACGGCTTGCCGGCAACGATGTATCGATAAAATATTGCACGTTCGACGGCAACGCAGCCGGTACCGTGGACGGAGGACCGGCTGTATCGAACGTCGGCGACCTGGACGTTTGGAATTCGGTCTTCAGGAGGAACTACATAGAGTGCCCTCCGGGATCCTTCGTTGACTATTACGAGTCAGAGGTAGGTGACAGGACGGTTCATTTCCATCTGGTCACACAAGAGTACCGATCGAAGGAAGCACGCAACCACGGACCACGGTGATCTGCCCAGTCTTTGGTATCGAACAAGTGATTTCCTCATTGTCTTCCTCTTTCTGTGCGTTGTACGCCATCATCCTCCCCTCTCTGAACGATTCGTGGTGTATCCTAAAGCGTCCGCGTTTCGGCTTGGGCAGTACTGGTATCCGTCATCTAAGGTGATGTTCGCAGACGTGTATTATGTCGTGGTTACTTGGTCAATTTTGTCAAGAATGGCACGTCTTCCACAGAATACTTGATACTGGTGCGATAACACCAACCACTGCTTGCGAACCGGCATTCGCGTCAAATCCCCTTTTTTCAGGGCGGGCGCTATGAAGCCGTCTGTGATGGCTGTCCGGCAGCCGACGACGGGATCACCATGGGGGTTGAGAACCTGGTCCCAACATGCACGGAGACGCTCGAGAACACCCGAAGCGATGGCGCCAACACTTCGATAGAGGATATTCGCATCGACCCCGGGTATTGGCGGGCGACCACAACCACCACTACAGTCCTTGCTTGCTACAATGCCGACGCCTGCCTTGGGGGCATCACGGGGGAGGCTGGCTACTGCCGGGAAGGGTATTACGGCCCGTGTAAGACCATACTTGAAGCGTTTTGTTTATGGCCCTAAGACATACGTAAGAACCATGCCATTACGGAGTTGGGTGGACATTCTGGGATCTTGATCGAAGGGAACGTCGAGAAACGGGATACTCCGGACCACACCTTCTAGCCCCAAATGTGGTGACCCCTCGGTCAAACGGTCACGCGCTAATTTTGTGACTTGTTCTTTTGATGCCTGTAGGCCGGCAATAATTGATGTGTTTCGTTACCAGGAATTGTTTTTTCAAAGAATAGCCTAGTTTTTTATTCTCATGCAATGGCGATGTATGTATCCATGACGAGATAGCCAAAAGGTCATCTCTGTGACGAACACGCCCCGCCCCCTCTCCTGCTGGCGATGCTCTCTTCTTTCGCGTTGAACACAGACTGCGCGATCTGCACGGAAAACTACGGTCGAACTATGGCTTTTGAGTGCACCAAGTGCTCCTCTGGCGAGGGCGTCGCCGTCGGTGTAATTTTCGTTTCGGCTTTGGCAGTGGGGGGCGCCGCGTTGGTGGCTTACTTGGTGTCGAACGAGCGGGAGGGGGGCGGAGGCGGGGGCTTGATCGTCCTGGTGAAGGACAAGGTGTCTTTCCGGTCGCTCAAGATCGTCGTCGTTGTCTGGCAGATTTTGACCCAGGTAAGGTTTTGCGAAGAAAGTGGGTGCTATTCGCCACTCGCGGTGGTGTGCAGGTGTATGAAGAAAAAAAAAAACGCGATATTTACCGTCGGTGGCTTAAACCTTTGTATTCACCCTGCGAACTGAGGCTGCTGATAGTCGGGGTTCGGGTCATAAAGGGTTTTTCGATCAGCTGAACGATCGCCTCTTCGCACCTCCACGGACAAAGAAAACGGCCGCCCCGGCTTGTTCTCGAGCACAACAACCATTTGGTTCTTGATGAAAGGTGTCTTTCGAAAAGGCCCACCCTGTTCGAGCTTGATACCACCCCGAGCTTGTCGACAATTCTGGCGGCGTTTTCGCACCTGTAACTCCTCACTTCTCCACCCGAATGCTTGTTTTTGGTTGCGCCGTGGTTGTTGTCTCAAAACAGTTCTCGGACGTGGCGAACGTCACCTACCCTCATATCTACCAGCGGTTTTTGGATGTCATTGACGTCCTCAACTTCGACATTGGGTGGGTGATTTCAGCTGGGTGCGTCGTCGACTTCGACTTCCACGATCATCTGCTGACGGCCACTATCGGGCCCATCATCGTCGTGGGTGTCCTAGGCGCGACCTACGCGGCGGCCTCGTATCGGAATCGTGGTTCGGATGAAGCCATCGCCAGAGTCTTCCGCAAGCACGTTTCGGCCGTGCTCCTGGTGACCTTTCTTGTGTATTCATCGGTGTCGTCGACCGTATTTCGGATGTTCGTGTGCGACCCACTCGCGGACAGCAATTCCTATCTTCGTGCGGACTACAGCATCCAGTGCAGCTCCACCAAGCACCGAGCTCTGCAGATCTTCGCCGTTTTCATGGTCCTATTGTATCCCGTAGGCATCCCTCTATTTTATGGCATCCTCCTCTATAATACCCGCGAGGCACTCAAAGATGGGTCTTGTAGACAGGCGCATCCACAAGCCAAAACCATCTCCGCTCTTTGGGAACCGTACACGCCCAAGCGGTACTACAACGAGGTGGTTGAGTGTGGCCGGCGGATGCTGCTTACTGGGGTGGTGGTCTTCATTTATCCCAATAGCGCGGCTCAGATTGCTATATCTCTGCTGATGACCTTCGCGTTCTTGGTCATATCCGAGGTGCTTGCTCCGTTCGCTTCTGCTTGGGATTGCTGGGTCTCACGCTGCGGACACATCTTAATTTTCGTGACCATGTTCGTTGCGCTCTTGCTCAAAGTTGATGTCTCGGACGAGCGTGAAGGTAGCCAGAGACTGTTTGCAGGAATCCTTGTGGTGACGAATTTGGTGTTATTTGGCGCCGCCGTGGCGGAGATGGTGTGGATGTGGTGTGCGGTCAAGATGGAGGAGAATGGATCGCCGTGGTCTGGAAGAGTCCGTGGCGTAAAGGACTTCGGCGTTGTTACCTCGCGCGCAGGCGGTTCTGAGTGCTCGCTCCCAGAACCGGAAGTTGGTAGCATCCCCCCCCGCTCAGAAACATGAAGTCCGTGTTGGGTGTAAGATCTGCTTTCCCACGTTTTAGTTGTCCTTGGCTTTTTTGGGGGCTCATGATCCGTATTTCGTGCATTGGCATACATGGAGAAACAGCAGGTACGATTATCGGTCGTCTTCGCCATGAAAAGTGCATAGTGTTCCGGAGTTTGAATGTACGTAGAGTGCGGGAAGGGCGGGACAGTACTGTAGCTCTCGATTGAAGAAGTTAGCAGGGGACAGGTCCATTGTAGCCCCCCTCGGGTTGGTTAGTTGTGGGTGAAAACAAGCGGCCGCTCTCGCTCGGTCGATGACACCCACAGTCTTTCATTTGCCTTGTTTGCCGGTATGTCACATCGGAGCGTGGACATGCCAATATTTTCTAGCGTGAAACAACAATTCTGCGAAGATATCATTTAGAAGGCTGATATCATATTTTTATGGAGGATCGAAGAATGTATCGCGAAGTACGTACGCTCTGGAGTTTTGCGCACGCGCAAAGCGCTCCGTGTTTGTACCCTGTTTTTGTTTTTGTTAGTTGTGTGCGCGCTCTTGGCCAAAGTCCCACCGCCGTGTTTCTTAGACCCAAGAGCGAAGAATCGTGTGGAATGCGACGTAGGGCGGAAAATGCATCTCCTTGTGCTACGCACGCGCACGGAAGGGTGCGAAACGTTTTGTACGTCGTGGTGAGCATCTGCGCTCGGCTCCCGTTTCCCAAACACGTACGTATCGAGTCGTGGCATGATAGACCCGTGTCACCTCATACGAACAGGTGCTACAGCGTACACTGGCAACCACAGATCAGCCCTGATGGTGGTGAAAATAAGCTTGTTAGCACAACGTTTCGGATCAAAGGGTGGGTCCAGGGTGGGTCCGGCCCTTTCACTACGCAAGAAACGACAACTGCGGTCGAAACGGCATGAAACTGTACACCAGCAGACAAACGCGGATGGATGCCCTTTAACTGTGCAGGGTAGAGAGATCGAGAGATCGGAACGGTTTTAATGTGACGACAACAGCAAGAGTCTGCCCACCTGTCCCCACCACCAGAAAACGAAAACATGAAAACTGCTGTACTCGATATCCCATCGTGCTGGCGTCTGCCAGGCCAACACACCGGCACTACATTTCCAGAATATGCAACTTGAGCAACTGCACGTCATGTGTGTCACACGAGTCATGGTCACTTTCGCGGGCACCCGCGCTACCGATGCCCTGCGACTGCTCCACCACCCGATATGCTGAACGAGCTTCTAAAGCATACCCTCAGCTATCCCACAATGACAAAAGCAATGACCCCGAGACGCAACCAATGACAGGAAGTGGCCTAAAACGCACCCCCGTACAATCATATGCAGTGGAATCTGCGTAGTTCCATCGGGAAGAGGGTGGAGTTCCTGCGGACCTCGACCTTCCTCTCTACTGTACACGAACTAATGAAGTAATAGAGATATGAGGATATGACATACTGAACAGAAACAAACTACGGTAACGCGAAAACAACACAAGAGAAGTTTTGTTTCTTCCGGAGCGAAAAAGATTGCACGTGCATTTCCTGAAGCAAGGAGGCTCAGTCGCCGTCTAGCCGCCCGCTTGCCAAGACAAGGAAGACTCTACTACTGCTGTAGAACCGTATATACTAACTGCTATGCTACACGGACATGGACACGGACATTCTCGAGGCGACGACACCTCCTCACACGCCCATCACCTTTCTGTTCGCAAGACGACTCAGCGTGTCTTACCCCCAACCTTCTTGTTACTTTCTGCAAGAGATGGTCGCTTTGGCTTTCGACCCACAATGACAGCAGTCGTCGGGGGGGGCAACTCTCCCTATGTCCTGGTACAGACAGTATCGGCACGTTCGTGCCGGTATCACCTCGGAGGATCCACGCTTCAGACAGCTCAGTATCGCCTGCTTCGGCCACCGAGTCGTGAGATACGACCCCATAGATGGTAGGGTAACAAGCTGCCGACAGGTTCTGGCACACTTTACCGTCGAAATCAACTATGATATGCAACCAGCCAACAGCTGCACCTTCTTTTCCACATCACCACATCGACAGCATGTCCAACAAAAGCTCCTCCAGTATTGAATACCATCACTTTCCACCCTCAGCGAATATGCGCTTGGCGTTCTTGACCTTTTCTCTATCGAGCTCATCCAGAGCCTCCGTGCAGAAGCCCTCGAGTTCCTTCACTTTGCCCTCCAAATCGGCCACCGACTCCTGCAAGACAAGATGTTCAGCAAAAATAAACGCGGAACGTGGCGGTGGTGTTGGTGGCGGAGTTCAGGCATGCGACCAGATCTTCCACAATGCCTGCCCGAATGATGGGAACGGGCAAAGAAAATAAACCACGGTAGCTAGCTTCCGCCTCGAGCAAACACAATGTAGTCAAGATGCTTGGCGGGGGGAGGCGGCCACCACTCTCCATCGCTATTAGTCTTAACCCACAACGGAACAACATCATTCGCAGTGATTCCTCGTCAGGTCCCGAGAACATCAACACGGTGCCGGCGGGAACGGATGCGTTTCGTTTCGTTGCAATTTGTCCCTTCCAAGGAACGAGGTGATGAAAGAAAGAATGCAATACTCCTCAACGGAAAAAAAGGGGAACATATGGCCAACAGGTCACAGAGTGCATATCGACGTCGCATGAAAAATCGGTATCCCTCTGTACGAAAACGAAAAACGAAATAGAAACAAAGAGAAACGGACACCCATGCGACTAGGGGGGAAAACAAGAAAAACGTGGACATGGCGGAAGACATTCGCTCTAAGCCGATACATCCAATTGGAATCAGACGGCCAGTAGGTCGTGCGAATGACTCATGCGTTGCTCTCTCCTCTCGCCTATTTAACAAACCGCCCCATGGCTCCAACAATCGCTGGGGTTTTCAGTACTCACCGGATTCCGTCACAGCGATGGAGGCCACAAAATAAATAACACCCGGATGATTTAGGTAATACATCTTTCTTTAAAGGACGGGTATGTTCAAAGGTCAGAGGCTCGGACCCCAGTCTTAGATTCTAAGGTTACCACGAGACACAGTCGGTTTGTTCGATACCGCAAGAATTTTCCATCTGGTCACTCGTTTGGCAATGAGATATCGAACCGAAGCGTGGAAAATATCGAAGTATCGGCCTCCACAAACACAAGCATCAACCACACCCAGGACGCGCGTGTACCCAAAAAGACAACTCCATGTACGCACGGCACAATGTAGCTCATTTCATCCATTCATTCAGGTGCAAGCCAGCTGATGGGTATCACACATCCTCACCTTGACCTTAACACCTGATGTCATGGTACAAATAGAAATTCGCATATTTCGGCGCAAACCACCGATCTTTATTTTCCATGCGCGTGCTACTTTTGGGCGTGTCGTGATCTCTCACACAGACACAGAAAGGGCAGCGCTATTGATGGCCTAGACCTTGCTTCTGACTTTGCTACGTAACGGTATGTCGGCAGCCGCGTACTGTACCTTCAACTGCGTGTTGCGGATTGCCATGCGGGCCAGAGCATCTTGGGATACGTCCCTTCCGCTGTTGGCTGCATCGCGCTCTCGGGCCATGGCCTCCATCTCATCCAGTCGAGACTCGGCGTCATTCCTGCAAGTGTGACAAAAAAGTAAACAATGTGAATGAAGTTAACCTAGGGGTGACGATTGACTCCACGATGAGAGCCGGTGCCTGGGGTATCGTCTTCATTAGCCCCGCGAGAGACTCAACAAGCTACTCTTCCACTGGAGGCCACAACAGGGGGGATACCGCTTCGTACAACATTGGTCGTGGAACAGCAGTAGTCTTGCGATTTCAACTCATCTACCACCATGAGATTGGGCATAACACCTCATGACTTCTCGAAAAATACCACGCACGTTGAATCGTGGAATACGAAAAACGTCCACGAGCAAAAGAAAGTGGACTATGTAAATCAAACCACATAAAAATGTCCTGTTCCGTGAAGCGTGAAGGCGGATTGTATCTGGTCAACGGTCAATGCAGGGCGAAAAACAACGCCATGGGAAATATGGCGAACCCGGGCGATGGATTGCGGCTAAACGGTAGGTAGGGTCAGGAGGGGTAGTATCAGCTCAGTACACAAAGAGAGAGAGAGAGAGAGAGAGAGAGAGAGAGAGAGAGAGAGAAATTTCGGGACCTGACCAAGCGGTAAAGACTTCAGGACGTGCGCCGACCGGCTTGAGCGACAATTCAGAACCCAGCACGTTTGGCCCACTATCTACGCGACACAATTTGAAGTCAATGTACACTCCGTGTATTCTAAAAATACTTGTATGCAAGTATGTTCTACACGGTCTTTCCCATTCCGTCAGAGTGTTTCGCATATTGGAACCATACAACGTTGAGACGTTGGATCGGTTGACTACCGCAAATGATACAAGATAACACAGCCCCTGGACCAATTTGCAAATGTCGATTTCTCAACAGCAGAAAGAGTCATAGCGCCGAAAACGGTGGCGTTGAAACTGTCTCGTCGACAACTTTCCGAAAATTTATTATTTCATTTATGCATCCTCTTCGTCGTGGCGTAATCGAGCTTTGAAAATTGGTCCAGGGGGTTTGTAATCTTGTGTCATATACAGCAGGTTACTGCCAGATTCTCGTTCGATCCTCTCATGTGCCTCCTTATACCACTAGCCCACGCCAGGCATAACGTTTTGGAAGACTCGAGAATGACGCAAGGCTACTTCACGTCTGCGCACCATCGGCACCTTTCCAGCTTTGTTTCGGCATTCGAAAGCCCGAAAAAAAGGGGGTCGGAACATCATCCTGTACCTAGATTATCATGCACGCACGTACTACGGGCAAGGGTAGACTCTTCTCCCACCACGACACATCGGAAAGGTGAGTACACGTAGACACCGTCGATACCTGAGAGCAGTAGCTTCTTGTTGGAGAACGTGTTCCCTCCGAGAGGCACTCGCGGCAGCCTCCACCTTCTCGTTCTGGAGGGCCTCCACCTGCCCAAGACAGCATCATGCACGCGAGAAACGGACCGAGTGGAACGCCAGGTTACATCATCACGGAACTGAGTGTAAGGGCTGAAGGAGCGTTGAACCTAAGGTCCTTTTCGGCCATCGCTCATGGCCGCTGGCTGTATCCAATGAGCACTGTACGACTTCTCGCCATTAAGAGGCTTTCCAGCGGAATCAAATCACCACGCAAGGAAAACGACACACTACATTCCAGACAACGTGCAGCGTACATCTCTACCCCACCAGACTAGCCCTGTTCAGCATGAAACAACCCAGCCAGGCGCTTGGTTGCTACCAATGCCAGATAAAAAAAACGACTTGGCAACCCTGGAGAAACATCACAAAGCCATGGAGCGAATTCCTCCCCCGGAGAATGACAGGGAAGACGCGAGCGTCAGTAGTCTTGAAATGTAATACCGTACAGTGGTCCCTGCATCCTTCCGGAGCACATCATCGCGTTCGACGATCACATTTACATGCTCTACGTAAATGAATACTATCATAGCAACGAGGTTTATCGGCAAACTGACCAACTTGTTGCGATAACATGGCGTGCGCATGAAACGAAAGGACCAACCTCGGGACGAGTACGAACACGTGACAACGCCCCAGCCCCAGCCCTAACCTTATGGATGGTGGAATGGTGGAATGGTGGAATGGTGAAAGCAAGAGCACGCACTTGCTTGATTTATTCCTCGCGCGGGGGTGCGATCTCACCTGTACGTGCGATATCACCGAGATGTGCACTCTCTCGCATCCTTACTTACGGCAGGTCGTCTAGCGCTTGCTAACGCACTATAATAACAGGAACCAGGGCGTTGTTCACCTGGCCGCTGAGTTCCGTTGACTTTTGTCCTGCGGTCTCCAGCTTGGCGTTGAATTCCTTTGCCGCCTCCTCCAGAAGCCTCGTCTGCGCCTCGGAACGCTCAAGCCTAGCCTGAGGGCGACGCGCACAAAAACAACCAAAAGCACCCAGCATTCCGGAAAGGGCGGATACGTAAATGAAATGAAGTAAGACATCACGTGATGGAAATCGCCTCTGAACTGCTCATATCCCATGTAAGGGTTGAAATTGCCAGCTATTAACAGCTACTTGCTTGTGAGTAGGGAGCACATCGTGCCATGGGCAGTAGCAGTCAGAGGTAACGGTAACCAAAAACAGATGTGATGGGTACGAGGCTATGCAAGAAACATCATACATCATCAGCATCAATGGCAGTGGCATCAAAACAACACCAACGGAGCGAAGAAGTGGACGAGAGGTGCTCAATCGCACAATGTCTGATCAGAGGCGTGACGACATGTAGTTCAACAGACCCATCGCATCCCTAGGATGACCAACGAATCCAGCTCGGACTTTTTAAGCCCGTCCCGACCATGCGCATTAGTCACCAACCCATGCAAATGACATTATAGCGTGCAGTGCATGCACGTTACGGTATCTACGATTGCACCAACCCGGTTATGCTCTGTGCGGGGCTTCAGCGCCCTACAAGACGTAGGTGGCGAGCTAGCTAACAGTTACCAGGCAGAACAAGTTCCCAAGAAGCATTGCTGACATATGTATGATTTTTGTCATGATTCCTTTGCACGGGGGATGTCTCGCCAAAACTAACTAGGAAAAGTGACCCGTTCAAATGACATGCGGGGGACCTGTGTAGTGCCGGTATGGGCACAGGTAATTTACCGGCTCTTAAAACAGATTCCCTCACTGCTGTACTGTGTTGCAGTAATGGACTAAATACTCGGGTCAGATGTCGGATATGTCAGAGAAGGAGCGACTACCCCACGCTCTTGTCGCTTACCCTCAGCGCGGCGTGCTGCTTGTTGGCCCCCGCGAACTGCTGCTGAGCAAGCGCCTTCATGTCGTTCTTCATCTTTCATACAAGCACCAGTGCGAGCACACACACAGAGCGCATGAGACGAGCATGACGTGTTGCCTTGAATCGCGTCGTACACCATGAACATGTATCATCAACACCACCAACGTTAGCTGCGTTTGTACCGCATAGTGTTGGGTGGGCACATGGGCACATTTCAAACGATGCGATGTGATCACCGAAGGCTACAATATGTGACGTGCAGAGCAGGCCTCGGTACGGTAGAGAATCGCTCAACACGGCCCTATCGTAGCACGCACAGTACCTCCACAAAGCAAGCACATGGGGAAAGGAAAACGGCGTGCGCAGAACCGCAGCCGAGCTATTGTAGGACTGCTGTACTGCTGGACTGTGCTGAAAAGGTCAAGATGCGCTTGGGTTGGTACAAACACAACGCTGATGACGACACGGGCCTCGATCGCAGCAGGTCAACCAACACTATAACACAGAGTGCGGGGCCCTCAACACCGGTATGTGCTCGGCGAAACGACCGGCGCCCTTCAATTTACAGTACAGAACGACTTCTTGGTGACTCAGTCTGTGCCAAGAAATTTCACCGGCACCATACGGGGCGGCCACCCGCGCCGACCAACCAGCGCTGTCGACCCCTCCCCCCCCCTGTAACCACACAACCTACCAAGTAACGCAACAAAGACGAGGAACTTCGAAAGGAAGAGAATCAGACCTTGAGGATACCGGCGGCACGCTTCTCCCGCTCAGAGTCCTCTAGCTTGTTGTACGCCACTTCCAGCTGTTGGAGCCTGCTCTCCGCTAAGGAACGCGCCCGCCTGCCGCCAAACGGAAACAGCGCCGAGGGTAAACGATGCTTGTCGATGTTGATGTGCAACCAACCGATTGGTATTGACAGGTCAGCCCAAGTCTTATCCCAAAATGCAGCATAGAACAGAACATATAGCAAACAGAAGTGGTCCCGACATCGTGGTCCCGAATAGCGCGGTGCCCAATATAACATTGCGGTAATAATTGCGTGGCACAACAAGCCTACAGCAGTACTACTAAACTTCTAGTCAGGGACCTTCCCCCAATGGCGCGGTGCCCGATGTAACATCGCGGTAACAATTGCTTGGCACAGTAACCTGCCTACAGCAGTTCCACTTGATTTATATTCAGGAACTTTCCCCGAATAGCACGGGGCTCGGTATAACATGGTGATTGTTTTCGGGTCACTGTACACCGTGATACAGCACATAGAAGGCAGTGCGTCTCACCTTTCGGAATCAGCCGTTTCTGTCATCCGCTGCTTCTCCGCAGCGTGCTCCGCTCGGGTGGTCGCCAGGTCGCTCTTCAGCCCCATCAGCTGCAACACACAAACAAGCAACAGCACAGACGTCCTCGTCAGGCATCGCCAGGCACCCTCCCACTGACAACTCAGTCGGCATGTTGCACTTGGTACCAGTAGCTGAAGACAGTTGTCAAAATCTTGGTGCGCGCGAAGGACACCCAGCTAAAACACGCGCTATTTATTGGTTTAGAGTTGAGAGCACGCAACAACAGAAACATTCTTGTCGGCGTTGCCAGGCCTTCGCTATCCCGCTTCCAAATTATAACCAGTCCAATATGTTGCACTTGGTATCAATAGATGAATAGGTGAAGAGATAAATCAATATCTCGCTGCACCTACCCCGGGCTATCGGTTGACACTTGAGGGCGATTGGCGGAGAAAATTAACGTACAGTCCGAAAATCAATACCAGGGCCCTACTGGCAAGCTTCTTGAAAGAAATACTGCTGGAGGGACAATGTGATGTTTGTGTAGGAGCATCCATAAGCTCTAGGTTACCCGATTGAACATCCGCGTTCATGGACGAACATGCTTAATCAAGTCGACATGTATTTCAACGGGCACAGGGATACCTTGTAACGGGCGCGCCTTCGAGGCCTGTGTGCCTGTGCCTGTGCTTGTGCTTGTGCAGTGCCCAGTTCTCAATGAAGCACAACCTCGCAAGCCCGAACATGTTTTCGATGACCAGTGTTGTGGTCAATGCACTCATTCTTGGTAGAGAGAACATCAAAGTGATGGCAGTGACCCTGTCGACCGAATACGTGTCTTCGCATCCAGGAGTCTTGCAACAGACCAGATGTACATCTCGGTGCAAGCTAACACCAGCCCTCCTGGCCAAAAATAAAAACAAGGTGTACACAAACATAAAAGAAGGCGTGAGAATCTAGACTACTCTGCGTGAGAATACCTGTGCGGTGACGGCGTCCAGCAGTGCCTCCTTCTCCAGCAGAATCTTTCCGCTATGCTTAGCCTCGGCGGCAGCTTCGCCGTAGCGTTCCGAGAGCATGGCGATCTCGCGCTCGAGAGCCTCCGCGTCCCTCGCGGCGCTGAAAAAAAAGACCAACAAAACAAGATGAAGTAGGCAACAAATCAGCCATAATAAGGTATTCCGGAGTGGATCATTTGATGTAGGCTTGTTTTGGCGAGGCCTTCTGTGGCGGCCGGCGGTCTCGCCAAACCGTCGTCATTAATCGGTTCCTCTTGTGACCATCGGCTCAGGTCCGCATTGAATTGAAACTCACCCAAAAGTTACGTTACACTTCCCATCGGTATGCACGCCGACCAAGTATAAGCCGCAACGTGAGTACCCGAACAACGCTACACATCCAATCATCAGCATACTGCATGTGGTCAGGCTGTACCGCCGGAGTGGCAACGTTTGCCACTTGCCGTACGATAGCACTTAGCACTTTTCAAACCCTTCAAAGCTCGATTGCTCCACAACCAACGGGGTGCGAAAAAGAGTCCGATATGTCTACGGAAAGTTCTGGACGAGATACTGTAGAGGTTTCCAGAACCAACATTGTTGGCGTTGGCGTTGGCGTTGGCGTTGGCACCATCTCGTGGTTGTGGCGCAATCGAGCTTTGACAATCGGCCTAGGGGGGGGGGGGGGGGGGGACCCCTTTGTTGCTTGCCGTAATCATTTGACCATTGACCACCCGTCCCTTTCAAAACGGAACAGGGGGGGGGGGGGGGGGGGGGGGGCCAAATTCCCCCCCCCAAAGGAAAAAA